ATAAAGGGATATCTGACTCAGCTTGTTCCCTGTGCTGCTCTAGGCTCTTTTCCCCTCATTTATTAGGTTCTGCTTTCTTACTGCGGTCACATACAGCATTGCTGACTTGTCCAAGTAAAAAGCCTCCAAATAAAAGCTGTGGCCTAGTGATAGCAGGAGGGTAATTTTGTAAACCACTCATTTCTCATTGCTGAGTTATCCTTAGTTCAATGTAATCACAAATTAAGATCACAGATCTTTCTTTGTAGAAATCAAGTCACAGTTTCAAAAAGTTCCCAGACTTTGGCCTGCTAGGACTAAACAGAAGCATCCAAGTATGGCAGCATTTGGGGTGGTTTTAATCAACCTCAACTCTAAAATGAAATCCCTAAAGAAAAGACCATTGTGGGTCCTCAACTTACAACAAGGTTCTACATGAGCAAACGTCAATCCACATAAATGAGAACTAATCTGTGAAATGTAATATTCCTTGCTCTATATCTTCGGATTATCATATGGGAGATTTACCTGTCAGTATCAAGTCAGTTGGAGGCTGCTTAAATGAAAGCCATACATAATACTTATTTCCAGGCATGTGCCGTTAAATGTACTGTACAATATTTAAAAATGATGAACACAGATAGTGCACAAATGAGAGGGAAGCCATTTATTCTGAAAAAACATTTCTGCCTCTTCCTGTTTCATGCTGCAGGTATTTTTTTTATTGTAGATATTACTTACTTTCCTATTATCCTGATGCAACTGTGGGAAGGGAGAAATAAAACTGCAGTAACTGCAAAGCATTATCCCCCAGCTAAATGGCTCCCATTTGGAGAGAGTTCCTCCGAAAATGTATTACAGGGTATCTCATTTTTATAAATTCTTTACTTCCACTTGAAAATCTCTATTTCAGTTGCCAATAAAGATTTAAACCCTTCTGGAAGAAATATTCATCAAAACTAACACAGCTGCGAATGACTGACATCAAGCATGAAGGAAAAAAATCATGTCAATGTTTCAATACATTACTTGTTGAACAACTTCTACTCAGCTCATCTGGGTAAAACAGGTATGCCAAAAATCGGACAGGCCAGCAGATGGTTACAACCACTGTTGGGCATGCATACTGCTGCCATTCCCCACTGCTGCAAGATGAAACACAATTCCCCTGAAAGAACTCTGTATTTTCTAAAATAATAATTTAGATAGAACAGAAAAACTATAGAAACTTTACGTTTTGGCCTAAATCTTCAGGTCCCAAATCCGTGTTGTCTTGCTTGCTAATTTGATTTTTAGTATTTTGGAACAGCAGTCATCTCTTTCCAGACATTACTGCTTCTTAACCATGAATGTGTGCTGTAAGTACCCAGGGCATTTCTTTCAAGATATTCATGTCCAAACCTCACCTAGGACGCCACACTGAATCAGACATCCTACGGTGGGGGATGGGTATGTGTATTTACAAAAGTTCACCAGGAGATTATGCAGCGCACTCCTGGTTAGGAACAATTATTCCAGATCATATTTTACATTGATGAGCAGATACCTATGGCATACATTCATGCATACAGTGACCAATATAATTCTGCTTTATTCGCATGGTATTAACGAAACGTTCCCCTTTGCCATCCCATTCCTTTCTCTGAATTTCTTTGAGATATAGTCTTGGAGCTTTCCATAGTTTGATAATTTTCCTAGACAAATTTTAGGCTCAGTCAGTGTATAAAAGGCACTTTTCATTTGGGGAGGCAGGGTGCCAACGTAGATCAGTAAATCCTTCCAAAACAATGCCACTTTTACTTACAGTCATTTAACCAATATTTATTCAGCAGTGTATATGTGGTGGTAAAGGCTAAGAATGCAAGAAAAACAAGATGTGGTTCTTGTGCCCTCGAGGAGCAGTATTATATAATTAGGGTAAAAATATACTGACAATTTAAGAAAAGTTAAGTCACCACATAAGAAAGCATGTGATTCAATATTAAAATACTAGCACTTACAACCAGGACTCTAAAATTCTAAAAAAAGTCATGTTAATGTTCGCTCCAGACACTCAACAGTCATGCCACATTTCTCAGAGGGCCTCTGGTTTGAAGAATGGATAGGAGATAGATGGGCAGGGCAGAGAAACATAGGAGTCCATGCCAGGAGCACAGCATAAACCATGGCAGGAATTGAAAAAAAAGCATGGACAGTAAAAAGACAATCTTCTGGAAGGAAGGGGTTATTTGGGTGAATGACACCAAACACATGAAAGCCAGAGTCTAGCTGACAGGCTAAAGAGCCCAATAATTTATCCAACAGTTGCAAAAAAAAAAAAAAAAAAAATCATCAGGGTTTAAAAGCAGCAGAACATGGAGATAATAGCATTTTAGGAATGTTTTTGTAGCAAAATATCTGTAAGTATGAGATAAATAATAAGGATAGCTATGAGAGCAATTAAGATCTAGGCCACAGCAGTGGCTTTACAAAGAACTAATGGAACCCAGTGAATGACTGGTTTGAGCTTCTAGCCTATAAAGGAATGGAGTCATGCAAACAACAGGTAAAGGGAAGTCAAGAAGGGAAGCAAGTCAGAGTTGCCAGCTGGGAGACAGCAGAACAATGCCTCGTCATTGGACATATGACTATGGAAGAGGATAACAAGAGAAAATAACTTCTGCACAGAGGATGGAAGGTAGAGTGGGAAAAATAAGAGGCTGATGACTGAATCTGGAGAAGCCCACTCAATAAAATGGAAAAATACAGACTAACTCATGCAAAAAGAAGCTCTCAGAAAGACAGGAAAACCTAGTGGCAATCCAGAGGTTAAGGAAGAAGAGAGTTTTGAACAAAGCTCATCAGCACAGTCCTCTGCAACAGAGAAATCAAAGGCCACCAGTATCCTTTCAGTTCTCGTCCCACTAGCCTTACCACGGGCCCTAGCCCACAGCTGATCGTTCTCTCCTAATCCTTAGTTACTGACTGTCCATGCCAATTGTTTAGCACACACATCTATCTGTTCATTGTTTAATATCCCTGATGTGCATATACTCAGATATTTGTTTTATCTCCTTGACACTATTGTAATAAACCTCTTGAGGAAAAATATCATAATCAATACTTTAGGTACCATCCCTCCCCACAGTTGTGCCTTCACATTGCGATGCCATTAGCAATCATTTAGATATATTTTTAGCTGATTATAACTATGCAGCTAAAGACCAGCTGAATTCAGGGAGAAGACATAGATATTGGTATAGGGTTGAGCTGTGCTATTCAAAGTGTGGTCCATGGACCAGCGGCATCACCTGGGAACTTGTTAAAAATGCAACCTCGGCTGCCATCTCAGACCAACTGAATGATAATCTGCACTTCAACAACATCCAATGACTGATTCCTATACATTCTGGTATAGAAACTGGTGTAGAGTCAGTACAGTATAGAAAGGATGAGCACTGAGTTACCAAAGAAGTTAACTGGAGGAGAGGAAGATGGCACATGGGTTTCAGCATATGGTCCCTATGCCAAGACTCATCTTCACCCATATTCAGACCCATGGCCCAGAGAAGGAACACAGGCCCTTCGTCCATCTGGTGAGACCAGGCCAGGAAGCAATTCCAGCTTTGGATGAGGAGCCCTGATGCATAAATCATTCTTCCATAAACTGCCACTAAGTTCAATTATAGGAAGGGCTTTGTAGATTATATCAGCTAGGTTGTTTTTCCATGCTTTATAAATATTCTGACCTACTGAAGACCCTGTTTACGCTCTCCATATTCATCCAGCCCTAGGAATTTATGGTATTATTCTGCCTCTCATTCACTTCTCCCAGAACATCAGGTTTCCCTCTGAGTTTTAGATTGCAATTGCTAAAATACTTTTCCGGCATAATTGAAAGCTAAACCTGAAAATGCAACTTTAACCCCAAACAGAAGGAGCCTGCAACAAAGGGAGAGACACTGACAGCACTATTGTTCAAATACCAGGTGTCAGGAAAAAGCTCCCAAAGCACAGAGCTGTTAGACAAAGGCACAGTCACATCCCAAAGGCTGAAGACCAAATGCACCAACGAGCTCAAGGCACAGTACCTTCCCTTTGTTGGCAGAGTGCTCAATGCTTCAGTATTCCCTTCTCTAACTTTCCTCTAGGTCAGTGCATTGAGCATCACTATTTCAAAATAGCACTGTGCTAGTTCTCTGTGGGTCTTTCATTATTCTTAACAGCTTTATTGATAATTTACATACCATAAAGTTCGCACTGCAGAAATGGAAGAGACCTTCATTCCATCCCCCACCTTCAAGCAATGCTTCATTAAATTCACCCAAGGAATATAATATAGTTATTTCTTAAATCTCCAGAGATATGGGACATAATCGAGACTCTCTGATAATACATCTTAGCATCTCAGCTTTTACCAGTGGAAAGAACATCTTGAGGAAGTCCCCTCTATTAAAATTCGAACCATTAGAGGGGCGCCTGGGTGGCTTAGTCGGTTAAGCGTCCGACTTTCGCTTAGGTCATGATCTCGCGGTTCGTGGGTTCGAGCCCCGCATCGGGCTCTGTGCTGACTGCCAGCTCAGAGCCTGGAGCCTGTTTCAGTCTGTGACTCCCTCTCTCTCTGACCCTCCCCTGCCTACGCTGTCTCTCTCTCTCTCTCTCTCCTAGAAATAAATAAAAAAATAAAATAAAATAAAATAAAATAAAATAAAATAAAATAAAATAAAATTCGAACCATTAGAGTAATGACTTTTAGTGCTCTATTTCAAAGGTGGCTGAATGAAAATAGCATTGCAGGCCCCTGTAATCTGCCAAGTACCTTGCAGGAACTCCATTAAAAAGTAAACTTCAGTTACTGAATCCAAAGCGCTAATCTCAAATTCTTACAAACTACTATTCCCCCAGTTTTGGTGGACTATTTTTCAACCAGGTGGCATGCTTCGCAGGAGCTGCTGGAGGCTGCATGAAGCCTTTATTTTTAAGTCAGGACAGGAGGAGGACTTAGGCAGGTTTTGCTTTCAAAGAGAATGACAGCAACTTACATGCTCTCACAGAACCTCGTCAGTGTGCTTGGCTTCTCCTGGTTGCATCTCTGTCGAAACCAGCGTTGAATGCTGCGAACATCCCAGTCCAGCTGCTTGGAGAGGCCTTCCAATCTCTTTTCGTCAGGATGCTATGAAGCAAGGCACCAACAAAATTATTTTCATCTTCACCATAAACACATCTGCCCTTGTCTAAACTGGATTTTTTTTTTTACCTCTATTTCCTATCTGCTACTGAGATGTCTGTATTTACCACTGACGACTTAGTCCTTCCATTAGTAACATGAATATAAATAACCACTCAAGAGAAGAAAAGTTACTCATTAATGAGACAACACTGAAAAACATGAATCTTGCTCTAATGCTTGCAATTCTTTTTTTAAAGTTTATTTATTTATTTTGAGAGAGAGAGACAGAGAAAGAGAGAGAGAATGAGCAGGGGAGGGGCAGAGAGAAGAAGAGAGAGAAAATCCCTGCATTAAGAGTGCAGAGCCTGATGCGGGGCTCAAAGTCATAAACTGCAAGATCATGACCTGAGCTGAAGCCAAGCATCTGCCACTTAACCAACTGAGCCGCCCTACTTATAGGGTGTTGCACTTCTTATCAGCAACGGAGATGTGATGAAACAGCCAATAGGCTGAGTCAGCTCCATCAGCCTTCAAGGAAAGGAGTTAGGTTAAGGTGAATTTGCAAAGAGGCATTATTCAAATGTCTCACTTTCTCAGGGAAAAAAATCCTATTCCCAATTATCACACATGAGGGTAACGTAGGACAAAGCACGGAATAATCTCAACATAGCTCACTTTAGCCCAAGGTACCAACTCTACTACAAAACAGGTGTTCTCTTTTCTTCCTCATGTCTCTCTCTCTGCTCTCTTGTTCACACATCCCTCTTCTACCTCTCTTCTTGTTCATTCATTTTGACCAGATCCCCATCAAAATTTATAACTATGAATTACTTGAAGACACAACCATGGTGAATGGGGAAGAGACCCTACTTAAGCTCGTCATATGATGATACTATTCTGTCTCTCATTCATTTCTATAACATTAGGAGGCAATGGACTGGTTCAATTCCTCACTCAAATGACCTCTGAGCCTCGGTTCCCTCACCTGTCAGGGTTATTTATCCATCTAAATGGGACCGTGGTGATGACCAAATGTAAAAAAAATATGTCTAAGTTGGTAAATGTATTTCTCCCATTTCCTATCCCTACCCTCTCCGAAGTACCTTTTAAATTTTTTTTTTTGTTTTATTTATTATTGAGACAGAGAGAAACAGAGCATGAGCAGGGGAGGGTCAGAGAGAGAGGGAGACACAGTATCCTAAGCAGGCTCCAGACTCTGAGCTGTCAGCACAGAGCCAGGTACAAGGCTCGAACTCACGAACTGAACCGTGAGACCTCAACCCGAGCCAAAGTTGTCCGCTTAACCGACTGAGCCACCCAGGCACCCCTCTCCTAAGTATCTTAAAGAGCATCCTGCCAACAGTTATGTGAGTGTGACCTGCCACACAACAAAACTAAGCTGTGTTCTATTCCTTTATTTATTCTATCTTTCCTTTACTATTCTGGAGATGTTAATGATTAGAGGAAATAACCAAAAACAGGAGAGGGGAAAGCAGGCTGACCAGCTTCAAGTTACAAGAGTAGGATGTACAGATGACACCTTTTCAAAACATCTCGAGCAACTGAAGGTGACAAATACACAGGGAACACAGCAAGTGGCCTCAGTATCATGACCGAGGTTATAAAATGTACTGAGCTTGTATTTGTGAAAGCCATTTGCCAAGTTTCAGTGAGGTGTGTGCTTTGACATGATTTTATTAGTCGTGACACCATCTATACTCTCCTTTTATGTGTGTCTTAAAAAACAGGGAAGATAGAAAATTCACATCTTACTATATACCTTGGTTATACCATTTTCCTAGAGGAATTAATTTTTTATTTTCATTTATTTTCTAGGCTTATTAAATAGCTAAAATATTCACATGGTTCACAAACTAAAAATTATCCAAAGTTTCACCTTCCCATTTTATTCCTATGACTCTCCCCTTTCCTACCAGCTAACCAGTTATTAAAACAGCTTCTTCTCCAGAGTTATTTTGTGCAAACATAAGCAAATTAAGTAAATTGAATATGTATTCATACATGACCTGTGTCACACAAATGTTTATATACTACATGTATCATTCTCAACTTTGATTTTCCACTTTACAATTTATTGGGAATATTTCCATATTAAAGTATAAAGAATGCCCTCCTTCTTTTGTAGAACTGTCAGGATATACTGTAATTTACTTATCCCCTCTCCTGTTAATGGACATTTACGTAATTTCCAGACTTCCACTACTATAAACAATGCTGTAATAAATAATCTTGTCATCGGTCATTTTATACACGCATACATACAAAGATAAATTCCGGGAAGTGAACACTGGAGATCAAAGGCCTATGCACCCGCAATTTATTTATATATTGAAAAATCACCCTTGCTAATGATTTTACCAATTTATACTCTCACAAGCAAAAGTGCCCATTTCCCAATGCCTTGCCAATAGAGTACGTTATCAGATTTCTCAACTTTTTTTCAGTCTGATATACATATATATAAAGTAGTGTCTCAGTGGTTTTTTTTAAGGGAGGGCAGAGGGAAAAGGAAAGAGAACCTTAAGCAGGCTCTGTGCCCAATGCAGAGACTGGCATGGGGCTCGATTTCATGACCATGAGATCATGACCTGAGCCAAAATCAAGAGTCAGATGCTTAACTAGGCCACCCAAGTGCCCCTGTCTCAGTATATTTTTAATTTGATGTCCTCTTTTTATGAAAGAAGCACCTTTTCACATGTTTTAAAAACCATTAATAGTTCCTTTTTATGAACAGTCTTTTCATACCTATTGCCCATTTTTTTCTTGATTTGTAGGTATTTTCTTTACTGATTTGTAGAGCTCCTTCACGTGTTATGGTGATTAAATCCATGTCTGTACCAGAGGTTTTACTTTGTACTAGTGTGTTTTTGTGTTGTAGAATTCGCTTATGGGGTTTTCTGCTTGTTTGTTTTCTTGAATTTTTTAAAAAAACATATTTGAACTTAACAGTTTTTTCTGTTTTAACTTCTAAATTTGAGGTCATTAATAACAAAAGCCTTTCCTACTCTGAATGTCCAAGAAATTAATGTAGGGTGAATTGACATATTTACTCAATTTGTCTTTTGTGTCCTTCAACAGTGTTTGAAAATTTTCCTCACATACCTTCTACATCCTTGTTACCTTTAGTCCTAGGAATATTGTCTTTTCTGGTATTGTTTTCACCGGTTAAGTTTTCACTTGATTCCTTTAATTGTCCAAGTATACAGTCAGATAATAACACGTATTCAGAATGTAAGCTCCATAGGCAAAGGATTTAGTATCTTTTTTCACCAGTGCCTAAAAACAGTAAGGCCTGAATAAATTCACATAACAATAGCTTTACCACCTTCTTTCTAATTTTTATGCCTTTATTTTCTTTCTCATATCTATTCGCTAATGTAATGTAAAACAGCATTGTATAGATCAATTAATATAATGTATTATATAGATTTTGTAATACTGAATTCAGGGAAGACCTTGCATTCCTAGAATAAATCCTCCCTGGTAATGATAAACAATTCTTTTAATGTGTTGTTAAATTCTGTTTACTAATTTTTATTTGGGACTTTTCATTGATATTAATAAATTCAATTGGTCTTTAGTCTTATTTTTTGGTTAAATCATTGTCACGCTTTACTGTTAAATTAATGTTTCACTGCCATATAAAGAGAATTTGGATGATTTTCTTAATTTTCCATACTTTGGTATAGTGTAAAATAGCATTGGAATTTTCTGCTCGTTAAGAGTGTGTTAGAATTTTTCTTGTGAGAGTATCTGAGCCTCATCCCTTTTTTGCAGTTTAGCTCTTGATTTTTTTTTTAAATATTTTTATTTATTTCTAGGAGAGAGAGAGAGAGAGAGAGAGAGACAGCGTGACCAGGGGAGGGTCAGAGAGGGAGATACAGACTCTGAAATAGGCTCCAGGCTCTGAGCTNTCCTAAAGTTTTAAAATGTTTTGGTAATAAGGTCATCACTTGATATTCTGATTATCAAAGTGTTAGGTGTCACAGAAATAAGTGGATTACCTTGTGAATTGCATCATAATGAATTCTCATACAAGATTGTTAACCATGTCCATTTTTTTTAATGGTTTTTTTTTTTCCTAGGAGAGAGAGAGAGAGACGGAGTCACAGACTGAAACAGGCTCCAGGCTCTGAGCTGACAGTTAGCACAGAGCCCGACGCAGGGCTCGAACCCACGAACTGCGAGATCATGACCTAAGCGAAAGTCGGACGCTTAACCGACTAAGCCACCCAGGCGCCCCTAGTTCTTGATTTTGATATTTATATATAAACATACCTATACATAGTTGGTAAATTATATTTTCCTAAAACAATTTCCATTTTACCCAAGTTTTTATATTTTATTTTCCATATTAACAGAAATATATCCTTTTTATTTTCCTCCATTTCTGTGATTGTTGATTATTATGTTGTTAATTATAATGCTGTAATTTGTGCTTTTTTTTATTGGACTAGCCGACTTTCTGTAAAAAAAATTAAACAGATAAGGTACTTTTGATTGATTTTCAGTTCTATAGTTTTGCTAACACAATTTCTTCATTTATCATTAATTTCTGCTTTCTGCTTGCCTTTGTTTTATTCTTTTGCTAATGCTTAAGTGTTTGACTTCATATATATATAATATATATATATACATGTATACATATTTCATGTATGTATATATGTATGCATGTATATTTCATTTATGCATATATCATGTGTATATATACATATATGAAATATATATACATATATGTATGTATGTACTTCATCTGAATTTTCATCTGAGCACTGTTTTGGCACAGTACAAATGAGTAGTGTTTTTATCATTACTGCTACCAATATTGTGAATTTCTATTTTTATCCAAGAGTTGATAAAGAGAACAAGAGGTTTCCTGTTTTCTGATTTTTAATATCATTAAGGTTTGCTCATTTTTAAAATTTATCACAGTTTTGTATATATAATAAAGGTCAATTTTTATAGATATTTAATAGGTACTT